TGAATACGTTTCAGATGTTACACATTTCTTCTACATTTGTCTGAATTTGTTTCTACTTGGGACTTCTCATGCATATATTACTGTTATATTTTCAACAGTGCCATGGACTGATTTTTTATTTTTTTAGGAGTGTAATTTCAATTCATCCTTTCACAATCTGTGTTATGAAAAACTAAATATGTTCTTCACCCTCTCCTTTTATATGTATGCAATGAAGAAACAATTCTTTAATTGTTAAGTCTGTGTTGTGTTATAATAATTGACAGAGATTCCTGAGGAAACTATACTCCTGGTTGAAAGAAAAGAAAAGGAGAAATGGAGACATAAGGGGCATAAGGAGTGTGGTAAGTAGTGAAATATTTTATAGTAGGATTTCCCAGAGAGTATTTTCCAGTCATTATATTTTGAAAGAAAAATGTGCTGTTTGACTTCTTACTTGATCCTCACCTTAGTTAGTTTCTCTACCCAGAATACTTTTTTTTTTTACTGTTAAGCCTCAACTACTTATTTAGATTGATTGTGTCAAAATCTTCAAGGAATCTGAACACTTTAGTTCCTTTCACTTGTCTAAATATTAACACCCTTCCCATTTACCAGAGGTTATTACTATGTGAAAATGTATATGTATATATATGTATAGAACAGATCAAGAACAACAGATTGAAGAGGTGCTTGATGAGTAACATTAGTACTGTTCTGTGTGTAGTATCATTGTAAGTGTGGTTTTAAAGTCATGATAACAGATGTGACACTCTTTCTGTTTTTAATGGTGGCCTTATACTGCTTAGGACAGCTGTCATTGTACTCCTTCTCTCACTACAGCAGTAGAGGGTGTTGTATTTTATCATTAATTCCTGTTTTCTGTATTTGGAGAGAGAAGAATAAAAGAGCTTGAACAACAGAATAAAGAGCTGTGTGATGAGAACAGTAAGTACTGCTTTGTTTTTTGCTTTGTGTTGAACGCAGTGAGTACCCTGTTTTTCATGTGTTTGAAATGTAACATCATTAGCAGTGTAGTTATATAGTCATAAGAAGAGATATCAAATATCTCAGGAGTGTATTAAACTCTGTTGTTAACTGTTGTTGTATATATTTGCAGTGAGGAGAATAGCAGAGCTTGAACAACAGAATAAAGAGCTGCATGATGAGAACAGTAAGTACTGCTTTATTTTTTGCATTTAGAGTGTGGAATCATTTAACTCTGCTTTTACAGTCACAAGAACAGGTTTTACACTTGTTCTGTTTTATT